CTCAGCAATTGTGTACTTGTACACAGCAACCGAACATTCGCGGCCCCATGACTTTGACTCTCAAATGCGGCGGTTTTTTAAAGGTCTTCATCATACAGTGGCTCAAGTTGCCCAGAACAGTAACGAAAGTCTTCGAGAAGGAAAAGAGCCATTCAGCTTTTCAATGTATAGGGCTGTGGCAAGGTCGATGCTCCAGTCTACCAAAAAACAGGATATATTCGGTCATATATTTCTTCTTACCTGTTGGAATCTCATGTGCCGCGCTAAGAACTCTGAGTCCGTTCGGTACGGGCATATTTCTTGGTATGAAGATTCCCTTACGATTACATTCGCCCATATGAAGAACGATCAAGACGGAAGCCGTCCACGCGACCCCAGACACGTGTACTCAAACCCAATAATGCCAGAAGTGTGTCCAGTTCTCGGACTCGCAATTTATTTTGCAGTTCTTGGTTTTTCTCCCGACAGTAAGCTTTTCGCAGGAGAAAACCAGTACAGTCGGTTTTTGAAAGTTTTAAAGGGAATTTTAAACAGAGACGTCATGAATGTCACTCTCGCTGAAGTTAGCATGTCAGCAAATTCTTTTGGAACTCATTCAGCAAGAAAAGGTGCTGCAACTTACGTCAGTGGATGTTCAACTTCAGGCCCTTCAGCAGCAGCAATATGCCTTCGAGCTGGGTGGACACTGCCAGGCGTTCAGGATAAGTACATCCGGTATGAAGCTGCTGGCGACATGGTAGTTGGTCGTTTCGTTGCTGGGCTCCCTTTTGACTCGCCAAATTTCGCTGTATTACCTCCTTTTTTTGATATTCAAAGTGGTCAAAACGACGAAAGCGTGGTGCTTCGACACTGGGTTAAAGAAGCTATGAATTCTATTTTTCCTGGAGTGCCATCAAATTTGAGTAGCGTTTGTCAGTTTTGCTTGGCTTCTTTGCTTTACCACAGAAGCTTTCTACTGAAAACGCTACCTTCAACCCATTTACTTTTTGCCACACCAGTGTTTAGTTCAAGCAACGAGTCGCAGCTTCAATGGCTGCGGCAACGCGTCGTTTGTCGAAACGCTAAGGAAAATGATATCATTTCTTCCAGTGGAATTCCACCTCACGTGGGTTTAATGGTGGAGCTAGCACATTACAAATCCGAGATGGTTAAAATGCGCGAGGAGCTTTCTCATGCGTTTGAAGCAGCTCTCAAGCGTCATATTAATGGCTCTGTAATGACCATGAAAGCGTTGGAAGCAGCATTTTCATCTGTGTTAGCTCGATCCAATTTGGTACAGCACAATTTGCATTTAGTGCGGTCGGCACTGGATAATACCAACGCTACATGCATTGACCAAGTTTTATACTGGGAATACCTCAGAATGAGTAATGGACAGCCCAAACAGGATTAATTGCGTGAGCGTAACGTAAATGGGTCAACGTTCGGACAACATCCAAAATATCGTATTTAGTATGTGATTAAAAGTTCTAAGAACATGTATTCCCAGTGTAAGTCGCAGACGATCTAGTATACTTAGTATACCGTAAAGTATTACAATTCCCTACGAATAGAAAGACCCTATTAATACCTTAGGGTACTTAGGGTATTCTACACAAATGGAGTGCCACAAAATAGAGGTGAGCTGAAATAGAGTACTGTTTGTAGCTGTTGAATAAAGCGTCTTGTGTTATGAACGGCAAGTTGACTACGCTCAGTCGTTCATGACCTCGAGCGAGTTTGCATGTTAGATTGATCGTTGAGCCGACCAGCGCAAAACACTTGAATATAGAAAACAACGATGTCTATTCTGATGTGTATTCGAGCTTCGCTACATGTATTAATTAGTAACTAAGTTTCCGACCCACAGCTCGTTAAACGCATCGCCGACAGGATCGTCTCTGCTGTCGACAACGAAATGAGAGCGAGGACTTAGTTACTATTTGTTAATGTCAAATTTGTTGAAGTATTAATCTATACTAAGTATGATGGAATTCTATTTCTTAACGCAAAATCAAAAACTTGTTTTAAAATACAAGTGCTCGAACACTGATTGCAAATTCGATAAATTGTGAAGTAGTCTACATATTTCGCGTGTTGTCCTGCGTACCGTTGCTCTACCGGGATTAACGCCGATAAAGGAGTAGAGAATACTACCTAATCCTTCAGGTATCTCCCAGTCCGTAACTAGGGCACTGCTTGTTGCAAATTGCGGCTTAGCAACAACCAATAAAACTTTGGTTTGCGGAAAGTTTTTGTAGTTGAACCGGTAGCTACTCAAGGCGTGGTGGTTTCATAGCCGGATCAGCGCTGCGACGACAAGAAGGGTTTACCCGAAATGGCTGACTGGCTGGCTATATCATTTCCCCCAACACAACGATATATTTGACCGCATTTCGCCATTTATTCTCTCAATAGTGATAGTACCGATGTACTACAAACTAGATCTCACCTGGTTCTAGGAAGCATGGAAAGCTGATGGATTGCGAAGATATATAGTGTATAGGTCCCCCGCCTTTTCAGCGCTCTTTACCGAATGCCCTTGACGAATTAACATATCGAATAAATCAATTGCTCCATCGTCCTT